TCTCATTCCAACCACCTGAAAATATCACTCCTGTCTCATTCCAACCACCTGAAAAAGTCACTGCTACTATCTCAAAGTTAGCAACCCTGCAGCAGCTCTCTCCAGTGTGGGAGAGAGAGATTTTTAAATGCCTACAAGTGCTGTGCAACAATGACTTAGTGTGCGTTGCAGCAGTTGGTACTCACCTCACACTCAGACAGACATACCGGGCAGAACATTCAGCTGTGAAGTGAAAAACGAAACAAAGGTTATGGAAAAATACCAGTCAACATTCACCTCCCCGAGAGACTGCCAAGGGAGGGAAGGAGGGAGGGCCTAGGTGTTGTACCAGGAGTGTTGGCTGGGCATTTAAAGATCCGGGGCTCAGCCCAGTTCCTTGTAGAGTTGTTTTCTCTTTTCAGTAATCTGTAGTATTCTAATATATTAATGGAGGAAATTTATTTGTCCAATTATTGATACACTGTTTTTGGTGTGTTTTGTGGATCATTCTGAGCTGTGTTGCTGAGAGGGTGTACTGGGCTGTGGTTGGGAAGAGAAAAAGGAAATTCACCCAGCTCTGCTCTGCACAGCAGATTTGCTGTGTTTCAATATACTTTTGAGATTTCTTTACAAAATTCTGGATGACATTTTTCTATGGGAGTTGTGTCCCATAATGTGTCTTTTTAAAAAAATTATTGGCCCCGCCTCTGTAGCGTCACTCTCTCTCTCCATCGCATCACTCTCCAACCTTTATCTAACACACCTGGTCTAGTTAATGAAAGTCTTCAGGTCAGGTGCTAGGTCTTTTGGATCGGAATTGTCCAGGGTGATAGATCTTTAGGACCACCCCTGTTCACCAGCAAGTACTTGTTTTCACACACACACACACACACACAAATATATATATACACACATGTTGTGTGCATGCATGTGCCACCATTGCAATAATTATGCATTACCCTGTTGCAGCCTGTAATAAAGAGTTTGGAGCTTAATGTTGGGAGCTTAATGTTGGGTATGTTGTCAGCTGCAAGTCATTCTAATATAACGTTCTGTGAGAAACAGCTGTCATATATGGAAGTTAATAGAAAATGTCTTGGAAAAGTCCTGGAAAAGAATTGTCTTAAAAGAGTAGGACCAGTGCCTGACCTAGTGCATGCTCTTTTAAGATGTAAAAACCTGCAAAAACCTATATGATCATTAAACCCGATTAAACAATTTAATATAATTTTAAGACAGCCATGATTAGTCTTTTTTAACATTGTCATATAGAAGCTTATCTTCAAGCGATCATATGAATATAACAGAACATACAAAACTAAGCTGGAGCGTTCAACTTGCCAATATTGATTCAATTTATTAAAGTGTTATTGTAGTGATAATTTACCTAAATACAACTAAAAGTGTTAATAAAGGAAATTGCTCAGGTATAAGTAAATAGTTTCATCAAAAACTACTTGAGTAATTGAGTTGCTTTTTTGTATACCCACAATCACAACCTGAAAATATTTCTAAATATATATTCAGCCACATCACTGGAAAGTTTGACCTTCTAGTGCACATTTACACACCTTTCTTTGAACTGAGTAAGGAACAAGGTTTACATTAAACTGGTGATTATACATTAAACGGATGATTATATAGGGCTTCCTAGTTTATCTGTTACCAATAATGTAGATTATAATTCATGAATTTGCACACTTTATTACTGTTTAATGAAGTCTACATTAAAAAAATTCTAATTCTAATTCAAAATTATGAGTAGATTCCCAATAAATAATGTAATTTTTAGTGAGAGTCCTGCTTCCCACTAACCCCCTGAATATTAACAGATGTGAACCACTATAGACAGTAAATATTACTCATACAGCCCTCAAACTGTATAAACCCAACAATATCTGTATTATCTGTAAAGTGAAATTGAGGACTAAATGTATTTTTAAGTAGGTGACAGTTCAGACATAGTAACTTTACAGTTTTTATACAGTCAGACCAAATAGTGATCTGAGTATTACAGTACAACACTTTTCAAACTTTCAGCCTGGTTTCTCTAACGGTTTGTTATACAGAGAGGTGATCTGTTTTGTCTGTGTACAACGTGCATGCAACAAATGAACCTAATACTCCACCCACAGTCCAATCACATTGTTAGGACAAGAAATCTGAAAAAAAACAAAAAACAAAAAAAAAAACAGAAAGCCGCTTTCTGCCTCCCTCTGGTGGCAGGGACTGGTCTAGCACTGCCTCCTGCCACTGGTTGGCTGCTCCGTGTGCCCCCTGACACACTGCTTTATAATGGCTTTTTTCTTCCAAAACTGTGACAACACCGTGTTTTACATGGCTGAACCATAAGCTATGGGCTAAATTAGCTAGCTGGCAGGCACTTGCAATAAAACATATGCAACAGATTTTAAATTTAATAAAGCTGCAATTTTTTTCTACAACATCAAAATAAGAAGAAAATAGTACAAACAGTACCTGTTCAGCTCGGTTACATTACAGTCTAGACAGTCAGCTACTTGGTGGAGGTTAAGTTGTGGAAATTTTGACCAATACTTACTGGTCCTCAGATGGCACTGCATTAAAAACAGACACGATTCTGTACTGGAAATCACTGCATGGGCTCAGAAACACTTCCAAAAACTACTGTCTCTGAAAACAGTTTATCACTGCATCCACAAATGCAAGTTAAAACTCTACCATGCAAAGAAGAAACCACATATAAAAAGGATCCAGAAACACTGCTGCCTTCTCTGGGCCCGCGTTCATTGAAGATTGATTGAGGTGAAAGTGTCTTGTGTTGCAATAAAACTTTGCAATTCTTTTTAGAAATCATGGACGCCGCATCCTCCAGCCTAAAGAGAAGAGGGACCATCCAGCTTGTTATCAGCGTCATTTTCAGGGAAGGCCTTGCTTATTTCAGCAAGACAATGTAAAAACACATTCTACATGTATTACAGCAGCATTGCTCTGTATTAAAAGAGTCCGGGTGCCAAACTGGCCTACCTGCAGTCCAGACCTGTCACTACTGATAACATCTGTCGCATTATGAAATGAGAAATACGACAAAGGAGACCCCGAACTGATGAGCAGCTGAAATCCTACATCAAACCAGAATGAGAAAACATTTCACTTTCAAAACTACAGCAGTGTCTCCTCAGTTCCCAAACACTTACAGAGTGTTGTTAAAAGAAGAGGTGATGATACTCTTCGGCAATAATTCAGCTATCCTTTAGCCACCGGATATATCAGAGGAGAAATGAATCAGCCAAGAAATTGAATCTAGAGAAAAGACAGACATTTCAACAAGACAACAACCCCAGAACAAACAGCCAAAACAACAAAATAATTTAAGACTTGTGAAGGTGCTTGCATTGCCTGGCCAGTCTTCTGACTTGAATCCTTTTGAACATTTAGATAGGATTTTAACACTGTGAGTCCATCAGAGGTACTCTTGTAACCTTGGAGAACCTTAGAGGAATGAGTCAAAACTGAACCACAATGCTGCAGAAAATGACTTACTTTTTGCCATAGATGTCTTAAAGCTGTAATTGCCAGCAACAGCTTTGCAGTTCTAATGGGCCTCATTCTTCAATATCTTCCTCAGTTTTTTCTTAAATGTGTTCTTGAGAAAGGTGCTAAGAAAAATCCTACATCAGATTCATGACGTGTTCTTAAAGCACAGAACTGTTCTCACCTTTCTGCTCTTGAGTGTGTGTAGATTCTGTTCTTACCTAAGAACAAACCCCAGATAAGAGAACATTGATGAATGTCAGAATTTGTGTAAGTGGGTTTAAGAAGAAATTTCATCTTAAGAACGGTTGGTAAATGAGGCCCAATGTTTCAAAATTGTGTTCTTTGAATTCTTTTCTCCCTGTGAGTTCAGTTTAAAATTCTTTGTTTATGCTTAAGAATATTTTTTGTTCATATTTCTAAATACAAAATTACAAAAAAAGTGTGTACCTTTGAAATGTATACATGCACTGGATGTTTATTAAGTAAGTAAAACAAATGAGCCCGAATACTTGTTTTCTTTCCCTATTTTTTTTTTTTAAACTTTTTGAAGTTAGGAAACATGTTACTAAAGAGCAGATAAACTTAACCCAGCTCAAAGGTCTGTATATAGTGAACAGATAATCTCTCAGTGCTTTATGCTGTTCATGTAAGAACAGATAAATACTATGTGCAGACTCCAGTTACTGCAGTTACAGTCTACAAAAGCCTGTCAGTTAGTCTGTATAGGTTTAACCATAGTAACCTGTGTGAAACTCATTGTTTCCAAAGGTCTGTTTAGAGGCGTAAGCTCAGAGCTACTTTGTACCTTAGGGATTACTTAGTTACTTAGATACAGCCTCACTTCCTGCTCTACAATGCAGGAGCATGGTAAAACGGCCCCACCTACTGACTAAAACTCTTTGTGTTTCAGTAGTGATGTGAAAATGTGGGACAGTATTTTTTTTTAACATTTTAACGTTTTTAACATTTTAACAAAAATGAAACTCATGATAAATCTAAATCACTCAACTTCACTTTAAAAGAAATCAAAAAGATCTTTTTGAAAACAATACTGAAAAACAAAATACAAAAAATTTGTGTCTTATTTTCAGAAGTGTAAATTTAGGGGTTAAGGTTTGGTGCAGACACCTCCCAATAGAAAGAACCCTATAAATTATGATTTTGCATACATTTAGCTTACTATTATTTCTATTTGTGCCTTTAGAATAGAACACAGAACATAATCTGTGGAAATATATAAGGTCTGAATAATTCATTGTTTTTTTTTTTAATAGTTTTATTACTGGGACTGCAGTTTGAGCTAATTAGGTCAATTAGGTTGAATGGTCCATATATGGCACTAGAACTCTTAGCTTTGAGCCTTCTGACAAGTAATAAGCATTGTGGTATTTGTAGCTTGTAGCTGACCACTAAAAGAAAAGGATGTGGTTCATGTGGTAAAGAGAACTTAAGCTACTCCATCCATGACCTATAAAGTACTATGGTGAGGGTCAGTATATCTACATTTCCATCAAACCGAGAGAGTCCAGTGCACTCCAATATCTGTATGAGAAATGGCCAAACTCCTGACCGTGTTTATCCTACAGCTGCTTATAGGTGAGTTCATTGCTTTTAGCACATTTATAGATATAAAAAAGAAATCAATGTTTCCGGACACTGTTGTGCCAAAGATTTTGGGTCTAGCATGGGATTAGTACGTCTAAGGAGGGGGCAACATTATGCATGCATGTTTAGCCTCACCATCTGGTTGTGCTTAAATCTGTGGCTTAATAACGATGGGTTGATGGTGACATCCTCACATACAAATTGGATTGGATGAAGTTTTCAGTGAAGTCGGATATTGTGTTGTGTTCTTCAGCTGTTCACCAAAACTGAATGAGATGTATCGTTCATAAATGAAAGGGAGAATTTTTGATTTCTGACCTCTTTAGTAGAAGATATTAACCTGCATTCTTCTCCCTCTTTCAGGAACCTTCAGACTGTGTCTCCTTCAGAGAACTTTGGCTGACCTCAGATCTGTCCATCCTGGAGAAAACATCACCCTGCACTGTGACATCACTGCAGATTATGAGATATCATGGTACCACCAGAGCTCAGAGACGATGAAGCTGAAGATGTTGGTAACTGCTGAAAGAGGGGAACTGGACAGGTCCTTTTCTCTCAGTCATAATGTGGATGAAGGTCGCTATGAGGGAACTGAGGACACCAGCTCAGTCAGTTTAGTGATTATCGGTGTTGATGAGTCTGATTTGGGTCTGTATTACTGCGGAGGACGAAATGAAACCACACTCATTCAGTTTGGAAGAGCCATCAGACTGACATTTGGAGGTTTGTATTAATATTTTATTTAATGGCTACTTTCACTTATTTATTTACTCAGTCCACTCAATCAAAAGTCTATATATTTAGATATTTATCGTTAATTTTATATAAACGTATCTTGACAATTGGAACTAAACTTTGAATCTCCAAAAAAGAAACTTTACAGGAAAAGGAGGAAACTTACTTTTTTTAATGTAAATGAATGTAAAGATATTTTAAGTCATTTTGGAGCCTTTTTATTGATCTGTTCATCATGAACTTTAGACTCAACGTAAAGGGCAGTTGGCATTTATGTATGTTATATATATATATATATATATATAATGCAATAATTCATAATTCATTTTCTAGCTTATTACCAAGACCTCATTTATATATGTTGATAAGTCACATTGCATTGTCTTTAATGTAGTTACTGAATGAGTTCTCCACTGGGTCAGAAGTCAGTGTTGTGACTCAACAGCTTCATGTTTATTAAAAGGATGTTAAGAAATCTAACATACAGTCAGCAGAACAAACTTAACCCCTTAAAATCACAGGTTTTACTATTAAGTAACTACAGGGACTCCAATGCAAACTGGTTGAGCTGTTCTTAGTTTATAGAAGTGTGTGATAAAACTTTGGGCCCACTGACCATGTAAGGGGTTAACACTTACCTGAACTCTATGTAACTGAGGTACTCCGGGTGGACAGTTTAAGCTTAGTTCAAAAGTAAAGTCACGGTGCAGTCACATGCATGGCAGATATTAAAGTGACTATAAGGCATATGGGTTCATTTCACTTACCACATAGTTATTAATCTTAGAGCTTATTATCCAAAAACTATTGTTAATTATTCAGTATCTACTATACATATAATATGCAAGAATTATGTAAAAAAGGAAGCAAAGACTGTCAACAGGTTCTTTGAGTTAAACAGGTAAATGTGGAAATACACAAAAGACAATATTAAGCAGATGGTGATAGTTCATTGACACATCAGGTGGTCTCTGTATCTACAGTATAATCTCTAATATTTTAATGACTAGTGGTGGATAAAATACAAAAATCCTGTACTTAAGTAAAAGCAGAGATGCTTTTTACAAAATATTACATACATAAATGCAGAAGTAGAATAAGAATTATCTTTACTTGTGCTTAAAGTACAAAATATTTGCTATTAAATGGATTTAAGTATCCAAATTAAAAGTACAGTAAGTTGTTATAGCAACCCTTTGTTTTGTAGTCCCTTACATAGTAGATATTACCTGAAATTACAATATAAAAAGTTCCAAAAGATTCTAGCTAATTGACCTGTAAGAGGATGTGGAACAGCACCATCAGATACTGTGAAATGAAATTGAATTTTTAAAAGTACTGTTTTAAATGTTACAGAATGCACTGTAGGTCTGCAGTTAAGTATATGTGAGGATTTACAGACACAAATGAATCTATGGTTTAGAATAATAAGTGTTTGGCTACAGTTAGAGTTGGTGGTCCTACACTATAGATTATCTGCAATTCTAAAAAACAAAATTGTCTGATTTTCAACAGTGTTAGGGGTTAGGATTTGGAAAAGCATTAGGACCAAGAATAAGGTAAGGGTTAGTTTTTGGGTTGAATATTAAGCCCAATTAGAGCTGGCTTAGGTTTACCAGAGGAGGTCCAGTAACATAATTTGTGAGATCTAACTAGCTGTTTAATATGGCATTAAATTATCTGCATTATTATCATGTTATCATGGCATTAATTTCTCCAAACCATCTCGGATAGCCCTGATCAAAACATCTGCAGTGTTTCATTTAACTTGGTAAATTAGTCAACACCCAACAAGTGCAGTCAGGTGTCAGTACTTAACCTATATACAGGCTAAAATAAGTACGCCAAAAGTGGTTCATGATTAAACTGTGGCAAATGTTTGCACACAAATCATATTACATCAACACAACTGATTGATTTAGATTAGCTAGTTTTGTCAACAATTATGATAATGTAACACATTCTATAACACAATTTATTTGTATGCTACTACTTACTTACACTTATCAATGTAAAGTGCCATTTTTTATTTAGTACAGTAACTTTAGTGTCCCAGAAATGACTGACCTAAATTTAATCCCCGTTCCTGTTATTAATACCATTAACACATTTAGAAAAACTACATGTTCTCTTCATTTGCTCTCACTATAAGGAAAAAAATGTGGTGTTTTTACTGAAAAAAAGTTATTTTCTGGGCTGCCTTAAAATGTTTAATTTCACAAGAATCTGTGTTTTACTCTTTGTCAACTTATTATTTCAGTTTCAAATAACTTTTAAGGCAGCCTGTTAACGTTTCTCTGTTAAAACACCACCTATTTTCAGTGCAGGCCTTCCTCAGCACCACTGTGATCTGTCTTGCTGTGTTTGTGTGTTTCAGATCGGGATTTTCAGAATAACAGCTCTTCAGCACAGTCAGATTCTGATCCTCCTCCAGATCCTGCACTTTACTGGATCCTCATTATAGTCCTGATGTCTGTTTGTTTCATCTCTGTCCTGATGAATCTCATATTCTCATGGTTGTTCTGCTGCAGGGTGAAAGGTGAGAACTTCCTAATTGAAGGCCTACATTCACCTATTCAGAATCAGCTTACACCTTACCTTACTGTTAACCCCCTCATAGGGATCCCATTGCTGTAGGTGATAACCAGCACAAAACATGATGAATACAGTAGAAAGATATGTTATTTCTGTTTTCCTTCTTTGCATTTGTGGTTTCTGTGAATGTTCTCAGTGAACTGAAACATCTTTTGTTTCAGGAAAGTGCAGCAGTGATGCCAACGCTGATGACTCCATCGAAAAGGTAAAAATAATACATTGATCTTGCTACTTTTAATTTCTTACACTGTAAAAACAAGGGGCCACAATGGGTTCCTTAAAAAAATGTTAATTTGGGTTCCCTGAAGAACCATTGGTAACTCTTTCTATGAATGTCACATTTGTAAGCATCTATAAACACATTCATAACATGTTATAATGCATTCATAAGGCATTATAAACATGGCTATAAATATTTATGAGAATGCATTACACGTTATAACCATGTTTATTATGCATTATGAATTGTTAACATAATGCATTATAAGTACTGATCATAACAAATTATAAGAGCTCATAAGTCGTATTTGTCTGCTCTAAGTAAAGTGAAGCGTACTGTACTAAAGCCTCCTCCAGTGTTCAGAGTGAGGCTTCAAGTTGAAGTATTTACTGAAGGATTTACTGAAACACTAAAACATACATAATAAAGCACATTACAGGCTTCAAATGTCAGAGTTTAAACTAGAGCTGCCATCAGTGTTTTACCCAATGTGGGAAAGTCAATGTACACCAGCGTTAGCTTGGCACTAACTTAACACTGCATATCCAATATTATACTGTTTGGAGCATCTGAATATTCAGGACTGAAGCCCCAAAGATGCAGCCCTAACAGCCCCAGTGGTGAGAAATAAAATTCTGGAAATCTCAGGGTGTAATAAACTCTGTATCTGTCTTTACTTTACACTCTCCAAGCTGGGACTGACTTCTTTGGCACTGACAGAATAACACTACTTATAATGCATTAAATTAACAATTAATAATGCATAATAAACATGGCTATAAAGTGTAATTCAGTGTAATTCACTTTTATAAATATTTATAACCATGTTTGTAATGCCTTGTTTATAGATGCTTTCAAATGTAACGTTCAAAGAAAGTGTTACCGAACCATATTTGAAAAAGATTTATGTGTGTGACGAACCAGGTTTAAAAAACCTTCACACAATGTAAATATTCTTTACCAGTTTAAAGGTTCTTCCTAGAACCGTTACACTTACTGTTCCATTTACACCATTTGGCCAAAGTCCAAACTACCCTTGAACTCAGACACTAGAAAGACAAGAAAGATACAACATGTAGAACTGAGACAGAGCATGAGTGCAAATACAATACATTTCAATAAGTCCTGGTTTTTAAAAGTAGTGTTCATTTAGGTGCTTCAAATTTTCTTTAAACTCACACATCTCATTTACAAAAATCATTCTCCAAAGAATCATCCACTGAAAGACCTTTTAAGGAGTCAAATGTGGTGACTCCTTAAAATGTGGCCTTTATTTTTAACAGTGTAGTGGATAAAATCCATGAAGCAGTAGCAGACAATGCAGATAAACTAGCTTCATTATCATGTACAGCTTCTGAAAGGTGACGTGCACACTGTCAAAAACAGTAACCTAATTACATCATGTGGTGACAAGCCACTTAACTAGTATTATTTAGCTCAAAAAAAATTTTTTTTTTATTGAAACAAGGGTAATTTCATTTTTACATTGTGACGGGTCCTGTGGTAATCTGCGGGAGTGCAGACCTGGTCTATTAACTGGGGGTGGTCTGTTATTCTCTCGGTGCTTTATGATATTCATGTAAAAGCAGAAAGAGTTAAAGTCTATCTAGAGTTGGGGCGCCCGAACCTTTCTTGTGGTGAGTCGAAGACCAAACAGACAAAACAATACAAAAAAAAAGAAGACAGACAGGTTTCAAATCCACTTTTTAAAATGTGTTTTATAACAAATTGCACTATATTTTGTTACTAAAATACTTCAACAATACAACTTTAAGGCAAAACACTACAGGCAGAAATGAAAAGGTCCTATCAGTCATTCTTCAGATTGTTGGAGAAACTGCATCTATGTCTTCTTTTCAACTGTAATCTTAAACATGTCAAAACTCTCAATACGAATTTACTTTCAGTATGTTTAATCAGTACTTTCAAAAACACATTCCCTGTTGTCCTCACAATAAAACTTAAATTCTAACATCATGCAATTATTGAAATTTTAATTTTAAAATCATGCAAAAGCTAAATTTTTTTTTCAAATGTACATTTTTTGGTACGTTTAAGTAGATAACATCTCATTTGCATATCTAAATGTATTTTTTGCTAAAATTCCAATACAAACAATAATTGTATCAGTATCAGCGGTCAGCTGGCAACAATTCACTGTGATATCTTGCTTTAAAAAATTTCTCCATTCACTTGTAGTGTCTTGTCTTAAAACAAATGTATCTTTTTTTATGAAGCAAAAGTTTGTGCTCCTGTTAAATGATATGTTGTTAATTTTCTCAGTGTCCTCAAAGAGAACACATTTCTGCACATTTTAATGCACTAATGTTTATTTTCTGATTTTAACATATTGGGAAAAAATTATTATATATTCCCTGTGCAAAGGTTATGGCACACTTAATATTTATTCAAACGTATAAATGTCACTATAGAAACCTGTGTTACTACCATTGTTTCTCTGCATTGTGGCTCTGCAGTGAAATGAATGTGTACCTGTAGCGTCTCCTGGTTAAGGACACTGCTGGAGGCAGGGCTGGTCTTTGCACTAGGCACTATAAAAATACAAGTTATGTTTTGTGTTTTTTATTATTATTTATTATATTATAGTTTATTTGTCTTTGTATTTTTGTAAAATTACCTAACCATATTGGCAGAAATTTTGGATGTCTCAAGCACATTTCTCAAAACAAAATCAAAATTATCTCCCAATATGGTGAGATAATTTCACTCAAAATGAAAAATTACTTGGAACAAATAAAAAGAGGGTAGAAATTAAAGGGCCCATATCATGGAAAACATCATTTATGGAAATTTTTCTTGCTTTTTTGAAACATTGTTAGTTTTAAAACATACTGTTCACAGTCCATACAGTCTATATATAGCTTGCTTTGGAAACAGCAGGGTTGTTTCTGTTGTATCACAAAAAAACAATACATTTACTTAAATGCAAATTACGTTTACACAAATCTGTCAATTCAGCCTGCAGCAGTTTCGCTCCACCCATTTGCGCTGAAGTTATAAGGAGTGCTTCAGCCTGAACTGCTTTTTAAATGAAACGCAATGCAGGGCGTCAAATCAGTCTTAAAGGTATAGTAACAAAAACCACCTGTTTAATTCTGAGGGATCGAGAGAGTAGTGGCATTGTTGTGACAAACTTATGCAATATCTCAACACTTATTTGCTTGCTTTACTTTTTGGGCCGAGATGACAGATGTGTGGAATTACTTCGTAAAGTTTTCATTACACATCCCGAAGACTTTCAATGGGGTTAAGGTCGGGGCTCTGTGATGGCTAATTCATATGTGAAAATTGTTCCTCATGAAAATTGTTCCTCATTGTTCCTCCCTCCAGAGGCTTGTACAATGGACACTCTTGTCACTAGGGCAGTGCCCGTCTTGTCACTGGAGCAGTACCCTTCTTGTCACTGGGGCAGCACCCTCCCTTCACTGGTGTGGTCCCCTCAAGAGTACATCTCAGTACCTTTAGTCAGAGAACATAACTGAACCATAATCCACTGATATGATATGTTCTAAGCTGTACTGACTCCACACACCCCTTCTCGTCTCCAGGCTTTTATTTTATTGTTCTATTTAAAAACATTAGATAAAAATAGTACAAATACTATGCAGAATGTAAATTAAAACAAAATGCAATCATGTGGAAATCATTTAAAACCTATATTTTTGAAAATAGTACAAAAACAACATATCAAATGTTGAAATTTGTTACACTAAAATTGTTGTTGTTTTTTGAAAAATATATGCCCATTTTGAATTTGATACCAGCAACACATTCTAAAAATTTGGGACGGGGGAAACAAAATGCTGGTAAAGTTGTGTAATGCTAAAAAAACACCTGGCGATTAATTGGGAACAGGTCAGTAACATGATTGGGTATGAAGATCATCTCAGAGAGGCGGAGTCTTTCAGAAGTAAAGATGAGGAGGAGTTCACCACTCTGTGAAAGACTGCACAATGAAATAGTGCAACAATTCAAGAATAACGTTTCTCAATGTAAAACAGCAAAGAACTTTTGCTTTTCATCATCTACAGTTAATAATATCATTAAAAGATTCAGAGAATCTGGAGAAATCTCTGTATAAGAGGGACAAGGTCGAAAAACATTATTTGCTGGCCGTGATCTTTGGGCCCTCAGGCAGCACTGCTTTAAAAACAGACATGATTCTGTAGTGGAAATCACTGCATGGGCTCAGAAACACTTCTGAAAAACAATGTCTGTGAAAACAGTTCATCACTGCATCCACAAATGCAAGTTAAAACTCTAAAACGCAAAGAAGAAATTGTTGTCGGAAGAAAACCTCATATCTCCATTTTTGTCATTTTTCAGTTTTTGACATAATTTTAAAAAAGTCTGGTTCCTTCTCCTGTAAAGTTACCATTTTGGAGATATGAGGTTTTCTTCTGACAACAGCAGTATATATATATATATATATATATGGAGGAAATAAGTATTTGATCCCCCACTGACTTTAAAAGTTTTAATACAAAAAAATAAATGAAACGTCTCATAATTTTATGCCAGCTTTATTTTAACAGTGACACATAGAATATCAAAAGAAAAACTGAGAAAATTACATGAAATGAGAAATAAAAATTAATTTCATTGAAGGAAATAAGTATTTGACTCCCTAGTAAAACATCATTTAATACTTGGTGGCAAAACCCTTGTTGGCAAGCACAGCAGTCAGACGTTTCTTGTAGTTGTTTATAAGGTTTGCACTTCAGGAGTAATTTTGGCCCACTCCTCTCTGCAGATCATCTCCAAATCCTTAAGGTGTTTAGGCATGCATTTGGAAACGCGAAGCTTCAGCTCTCTCCATAGATTTTCTTGACCTTGATATGCTTCTTATGGAGCCACTCCTTTGTTTCCTTGGCTGTATGTTTTGGGTTGTTGTCGTGCTGAAAGACCCATCCACGACCCATTTTCAGTGCCCTGGCGGAGGCAAGGAGGTTGTCACCCAGGATTTTGCGTTACATGGCCCCGTTCATCTTCCTGTCGATGCGGTGAAGTTGGTCTGTGCCCTTAGAAGAAAAACACCCCCAAAACATAATACTTCCACCACCATGCTTGACGGTGGGGATGGTGATCTTAGGGTCATATTCTGTATTTTTCTTCCTCCAAACACGTCGAGTTGAGTTGAGGCCAAAGAGCTCAATTTTGGTCTCATCTGACCACAGCACCTTCTCCCAGTCTCTCTCGGAGTCATTATTATATTCACTGGCAAACTTGAGCCGGGCCTGGACGTGAGCCTTCTTGAGCAGAGGAACCTGGCATGCACTGCAGGATTTTAAACCATTACGTCTCAGTGTATTACCAATGGGTTTTTTGGAGACTGTGGTCCCAGCCTCCTTGAGATCATTAACCAGCTCCTCCCGTGTAGTTCTTGGCTGATTTTTAGCCTTTCTCATGATCAGTGAGGCTCCACGAGGTGATATCTTGCATGGAGCTCCAGGCCTAGGTCGATTGACAGTAATGTTGTACTTCTTCCACTTCCGAATAATTGCACCAACAGTTTGCATCACCTTCTCATCCAGCTTCTTACTTATGGCTTTGTAGCCCATTCCAGCCTTGTATAGGTCAACAATTTTGTCCCTGACATCTTTAGACAGCTCTTTAGCCCATGGTGGAGATGTTGGAGTGTCACTGAGTCTGTTGGCAGGTGGCCTTTTATACAGGTGACAATTTGGGACAGGTGTCTCTCATGCAGGTAACGACTTCACTGAGATTATGGTGTGTCAGTGGTCTGTGGGAGCCAACATTAGTCATGGTTTTTAGGGGGTCAAATACTTATTTCCCTCAATGAAATGCAAATTATTTTTTATTTAAATATTATTTAATTTTCTAGATTTTCTTTTTGATATTCCATCTCTCACTGTTAAAATGAAGCTACCACAAAAATCATAGACTGTTTAATTATTTGTCATTACAAATAGTACAAACTTTCAAAATCAGTGGGGGATCAAATACTTATTTCCTCCACTGAAAACATTTGGCACATTACGAAATGAAAAATACGACAAAGGAGACCCCGAACTGATGATCAGTTGAAATCCTGTATCAAACAAGAACAGGAAAACATTTCACTTTCTAAAGTACAGCAGTGTCTCCTCAGTTCCCAAACACTTACAGAGTGCTGTTAAAAGAAGAGGTGATGAAACACAGTGGTAAACAGGCCCCCGTCCCAACTTTTTTGGAATATGTTTCTGCCATCAAATTCAAAATGGGCAAATATTTTTCCTCATTTATTTGCTATGTTGTCTTTGTTCTATTTTCAAATAAATATAGGTTTAAATGATTTGCACATGATTGCATTTTGTTTTAATTTACATTTTGCACAGCATCCCAACTTTTTTGAAAATGGGGTTGTACTTTTCACCTGAAAAAACTTATTTAAGGTTCACAATTGGACCTTAAAGCCTCTGTTGTACCTTTGAGGGAACATTTACATTGTTTGTACCTTGATGAATGAAAAATATTCCTGCATAGAGCCTTTATTTCTAACAGTGTACTGTAGCCCTGAGACTACTTTGAAAATGTGCATCCAGGAGACCCCTATTCCTGTCTTTCACCCAGAGCCCCAGGAACCTCCCGGCTGGAGGATATTAAACCCTCTCACTGTTACTAGAAATAAATACAAAAACATTTCTTTTTAAGGAGTAAAACTTTTCTGTTAGAGTGAATGTTAATTATTTACGTAATAAAAAATAATTATGTCAGGGCCCCACCTTGAAGATGAAGCAGAAATATCCCTCTGGTAATGACAGCATGAGAGTGAATTGCAGGAACAGCAGTCAGGTGAACTCTTGTTCTCTCCTCTCCAAGTTTCATGTCAGCAAAAAACCCAAAAAACTCCACTGAGCAACAGCGTTTACAAACTGCAACTCGGAATTTATAACCACGCCACAAGTTTCATTTCATGCACGCTCATACGAGTGTGCATGAAATGAAACTCATGTTTGCAGCAGCGGCCTCTTTGGAGTCCAGTCAAGTCCAGACAATAACTGGGTGTAATGGCTCACTCCACACAGGAGCTCATCATTTTGAAACAACATGGTGATGATATAGACTCTTCGTCAAAGTTTAGTTACAACTCTGACTAATGCACAATGGAAAGTAAAGGAGTGACACTGACAACTGAATAAATTCAAAACGTAAAATGTAAAAATTTTAAAAATTCAAAATTTAAAAATTTTAAATTGATCAAAATTTAAAATGTTGATATGCTAGACATACTGGCCAAAATGGATGCACATTTGTTTGTACCTAATTCTGTCCTGTATAGGTCTAACTATTCTTAGGCCGACGGATGAACATTTTACATGGCTCACGGGTCAGACAGGAGGGCCCCTCTGCAGAATACTGCAAAGGAGGTCAGCACTGAGTCTGATTATTTGAATATCTTGTCTAGGAACGTATGCATTTTCCATTCTATTTATTCACTGTCAGCTTTGAATATACCTGATGTGCCTTCTGACCACTACTACGTGCTGTGGTGTTTGTAGCATGTTGCTGACTGCTGAAAGAACAGGATGTGGGGTATATGGTAGAGGGTCTAACGATCTAACTCTGCACTGGAAATTGAGCAGTCCATCCATGTGTGACCTACAAAATGTTGTGGTCTATTCACATTTTCCATTAGGTCAGAGAGGTTCCAGTTCGTTTTAAAGTGTGACGCTTTTCTATTAGAGCATTTATTTATCTGGGAACATGTACAGTTCTGTGAAAAGCTTTGAGAAAATTACATTTAAAAAAGTGTTTATTTGCTCAGAAAAACACAAATATTAGAACATAAATTATGTATGTCAATGTGTTTAATTACTCCCTGTCCTCTCCTCAAGAAAGTCCCATATTAATAATAGTTTTTATCCAATACTTGCTTTATCAAATCAGTGCTTCATGTTAAATTATGCTGATGGAGTTTAATAAATCTATGTGACGTCTGAACTTTATTCCTCAAACTAACTCACAATACATCAGCTATGTTTTAAAAATCGAAATTCTTGTTACTTTTAACTTTATTTATATTATACTGATTTATGGTGTTTTTACAAGCAAAAATAGCTTCACCTCTGAGGTAAATGGTTGGAGAAACTAATATTGTAATAATTTCCTAACAATTTATTTAAAAATGATAATGTAATAACTTGCCCAATAATGTAACACAATGCATTTACTGATAATGTAAAAGGATTTTTACTGATAACTTAATACCTTATTACATTACATTGGGAATCTATTACATTGTCAGGGTGACCAAACAGTAATGTCTTAATAAATTATTGGAAATGTATAATATTTCTAAGGTTTGCTCAAATTTGTTATCAGGATGGCGGATGTAAAACTTTTAAGAGCAACAAAAATCTAGCCTTACTTGCCTAATCTACAACAAAATAGTAGTAAAGTTTAATGAAAACTATATGAAAACAAATCTATTCACGATAGAGAAGTGTGATGTACCAACACTGTGAATACCCTTTAGGCACCTAGTTCCCTGAAATAAACTTGTGTGTCATCAGCAAAGCAATGAAAAGAAGTATTATGCCCATGAAAAATACATCCCAGAGGAAGCATATAAATGAGGAACAGGATAGGACCCAATACTGAGCCCTGGGGGGACACCTAAAGTAATAACCTTAAAAGGTGATGAATATCTACCCAAGGTTACACATTCCTTATGCCCAGTCAAACAGGAATTAAACCAATTTAAACAGTGCCTGAAATTCCTATGGCTAAGAATAGCATGGTCGATAGTATCAAAGGCCAAGCAGCAACAAGCGGCAAATCAAAGCATGAAGTGACAATCTGAACAACTGAATCTGGCAAATTCCTCAGTTGTAGACATGTAAACCAATTGTAGAATGTCCCTAGCCTCCATTTTTGAAATTTTTGGTACTGCCAGCATTGCACTTATATTCCCAATATTACAGCACAAAAATGGAAGAAAAGATGAACTTGCAAGTGTACCGCAGTTCATATTTTAAACAAATTTGTGATGAAAATAGCAATTTTGTTCACATTTTCTTGTCAGAAGTTTGAACCATTTGAAGCTGGATGGTATGCAGCAGATTTTATGCTTCTTTTTGAAGTAATTTCTTCAGTAAAAATCGTTCAAAATTATCAGTTAAGACAGTGTATTACATTATTGGGCAAGTTAGGTTTAACTACATTATTAGGTTCTACAGTGATTTTAAACAATGTGCTTGGATGCCTTTTGCACAGTGTGTCTGTGTATACAGTGTAGCATCAGTGTAGAGGATGCGAGAATCATAGGGCTTTGTGCGAATGCTCTTTATTGAACAGCAAAAGTGAAGAAATGACAGCTGGGATAGCAGGATGGCCACTTCCTGCCACACAATTCAGCTTGTTGGTAGACAGTGCCGAACTACCCCAAAACCCAACACAAATTAGCACAAACAACACATATACCCATATTTGAGCTAAGACCAACAACTATTTACAACATTTGACTACCTCCCACTAGGAATACTGCACTCACAAGAGGTCATGCATGTGTATGCACTGCATGGCCACACCTCCTGCACATCCACGGCCATGTGTACCAGTAGTGGGATGCTACAAAGCCCCCCCTTCAAAGGTGACACTATCCTGGTGACCTCACAGAGCCCCCACCTCATATTTTAGTGTCCTGTTACTGGCTTGCGTGGTAGGAGAGACTTTACATGTTCTAAATATATATGCTATTAAACATAATAGCAGAGTTGGTGCCTTTGAAGCTAGTAAGCTCCATCGTCATTAAATCCCTTAATAATATGATCCATTGGTGAGTCTAGACACTCTTATAAACGACACTGCCTGTTTGTTATCCATGTAGTTTCTGAATATTCAGGCTTAGGACGTAGTTAGTGTGGAGTTATACTGCTGTTATGACACAGATATCTGCTGGTCTTTGTCTCTTCAGGACGTGGACCTACAGTACGCCAGTCTCCAACACATTGCAGTGACCAGAGGAGCTGCTCAAAGAAACACAGTGTCTGATCCTGACAGTGTGACCTATTCAGGAATCATCTCACGGCCCACTGGACAGCGTGAGGCTTCTCTAAATAAACACAAACAAAATAAACACAAGTAAACAGAAAGGTATCTGATTTCAGATGAGATGTTCAGAAAGTTCTTGTGAATCACCCACAACCCAGGACACATGAACTGGACTGTTGTAAAGTGGAAGAGAATGGACAAAACGCCTAGCACTGACCTGTTCAGAGCATATAACGAACATAAAGAGTATATAAAGGATAGTGCAATACTCTGGTATGGAGAAACATTATAATACCCTTGTAAAGCCCTTACCAAGCCTTATCAAGCCAGTGCAGGAGTAAAGCAGTAATGAGCAGTAATGGCTGCTCATTACTGCTTTATTAAGCAGTAACTACAATGAATTAAACATTTTTCCAGAGCACTAATAAATCACAATTAGGTATATAATGTGCGTAATATCTTTTGAGTCCCATCAACACCTTTATAATAAATTACACATTAGCTTTAAATACAGAAACACTGACCACAGGTCTTCAAATCTGGACCTTGACTCCAATTATTGATCCTGAATGTTGTGATCATTGGTCTTCATAAATGTTCTGGAAAAGATTTTAATGTTTAATACACAAATGAAAATGCTGTGGATACTGCTTAATTCATCATATATCCTACTTAATAAAGTAGTAATGAGTATCCAGTTAATGACTATCTACTGATTAATGAGTTATAAGGAGCTTTACAATGGCATTATAATATCCCACACTGAAAAGTTACCAATAGATACACAGAGTGTAAGAATATCTCATTCACAGAATCCATAAATACTGAAAAAAAATCCTCACATGTGATGACAATGAAAACAAATAATCATTTACAGCAAAATTGTCCATTCCAGCCTGGCAAATCTGACCAGAAGTGCCTACAAGAATAACTTTACATTTAGTATCACTCAATTGCAGAGTTGCTCCACAGATCTACCTGTCCATTAAAACCAGTATAATTATAACTCTAAGTGCTCTGGCTACAATACACATGAACTTACAGTGTCCATAAAGCCTGTAAAATAACATTTTTCATCAATTACTTTATTGTCTAGTTAGTACGGCTTTTTTGTTGTTAGCAGTGCGCAATACTGTAAATGTTAAGCTTAATGTCACCACAAAACATCACGAGTATTGAATAATTGTGTACATTTAAAAAACCATCACTGCTCTTGGTTGTTATTGACTTTTAAAAAGCCTAGGATAGTATTTGTTGTTTATATATGTCAATATGAACTTTAATAATATGAAATAAAAGCAGCAAATGAAAATAAAGCTCTTTTGCACATCAGCATGCAAAGAAAAAAAAAAAGGATGAGACCGATGCTTACAAATGTCCAGCCTACCACAACCCGTCTTCCAAAAAAATAGTCTTCCAAAATAATAGTCCAGTGTGGCTCTGTATACATATATATACAGAGCTCTATCTGTTTATGATCTTTGCCATATAGCAGCTCCCGAAATTAGTGCCACCTACTGGTGAAGGAAAATTGCTGTCATTTCCAGCCGTGGAAACATTCTGCTCGCAGAATGCAGATGTTTAGATTCATGCTGTTCTTTTTTTACTACCTCCTCAGAACAAGAGCAGCCATGAAAGGAAGTAGCACTATGATCTTTGAGGGGGGATAGTTCATTCTGGCATCATCTGGAAAGAAAGATAAAAGGGAAATAATGTTCCACTAGAAACAGACAAAGCATCAGGCAGTGTTAAACTGGAAACAGACAAAGCATCAGGCAGTGTTAAACTGGAAACAGACAAAGCATCAGGCAGTGTTAAACTGGATACAAAGTATTGCACAGATGGTAAGTTTAGAGGAGTGTGGGTCTGAGATAACTGAGTTATCAGGGTTGGTCTGGTGTTTTCTTTTGTTTTTTTTTGGAAATCTTAGTTTCAGATTTCTCTACATTAAAAAGCTGAAATCAGTCAGAAAGTGAGGATAGACGCCCCCTATAAGTTCTCTCCTAACTAGATCTAAACTTAGCTTATTTACTGAATGGCTACAGCCAAATTAATTCTGAGATTTGCCATTAGATCTAGATTTTCTGTCATTGGATAACATGGATTTATGCAGTCATATTAAACTATACAAGAAAAATGTCTTTATTTAGATCATATGGTTATGGAGAGTTGTGCAGAGACCAGTACATTTAATAATGTAGGAAAAAATTTAGAACCTTGAACACACACTAACCTTTTGGACAAATTATTACTATTATTATTATGAAAAAAACAATGAAATGGCAACAATAAAGATGATCCTATTTTCCTTTTTCTTTTTGTGCCATTACAACATTTTCTGGTTTACTAAAAATACCAGTTCAAAGAGATGGAAAGGACGCAGTGCAGTCTGTGTTATGTCTATGAATTCCATCACTTTCTCATTCTCATGTTCAGGCTTGTTATTACTGTGATCTGAGATCATCTCTGATTTACATCTAATGTCAGTATCTGAGTCTCTGTGTCACTAACTCAACACCAGACACTCAATAGCCTTGAGTCTTGAGAATCCAGACTGAATACCTATACTACTGACGCAAACTCAAAGGCATTGTTATTGCTGCCAAACTTCTGACAACACTATTCTTTTTTTAACCAGTATAAAGTTCTTAGTCATACAAAAGAATGCTTTGAAAAAGCTGGTAATCCCCTCACCTGATGCTGCTGCATTTTCATTTGAACTGGATGAACTTTTTTCAGGTGTTTCTTTGAGAGAATAAAAAAGAAACATAATCGTAAAAATACTGTATTGTATTGTTTAAAAGTCATCATGGCTCAACCTAATGTAATCATTCAGTTAGTAATGAAATTACTACTCAATTAACAAAATTCATAGTAGGTTGGATTCAGGTATTTTTGAGACCATTTAAGATGCATGTTTATTCCGATTTTAGCTGATGCTTTCTCAATGAAAGCATAATTAAATAATGTCTCTGATATTCAGAGCCTCTGACCTTTGTGTACCATATAACAAAGAACAAACTGTACCATTTTACCTGAACCCAACAGCACATCTGAAAGTCGAGTTCAATTAAAAAGTATGAATGTAAGCATGATTGTACAAACTATACAGTTCTTTGATACTCGCTTTTGCCCCAACATTCACCTACTTCTTAAATCTAATCAGACCTGTAGACAGCATAGCTTATCAGTGAGATAAAGACTGTTACACATCGAACACGACGCAAAAAAAAACAAAACAGAAATGCAAGGAACTTCAACAATGTTGTTTGTGTACAGAAAAAATGGGAAGAAGGTCTTCAAGTGCAAAAAGACATTCTTTGCTCTTCACAAATTGGGCAAATTGTGATTTCAGTTTGGCTGCTCCGTTTTGAGAAAGGGAAAAGAGAACAATGAGTTTCACCTCCCCCGCCTTTCCGGAATTTTGTATGTGCTTTCACAAAGCCCGGAGGTGCAGTGAAGAAAAAGTACTGAGACACTTTTGCTTTTGTTATTTATCATGTATGCAAGTCCACTTTACTTACCTCCACACACATAATGTCTTTGGACTGTGTACAAAAAATGATGTATTCATAAATATGAACAAATATAGATTAAAAAACTAAAATGGAAAAGTATTCAGACACCACAAATAAAGAAGTAATTCACTTTTTGTAGCATTGTGCTTCAGTTTTGGCAAACCGACTTCAGGTTATGATGGTCCATCTGATGGACTCGCAATAGCAAAATCGTCCTCGGCTGATTAAATTAAATATCTCCTGGTTTATTGCTCCATTCATGTTTCCTTTGATGATGATTACAGTATACAAGCTGGCCAATTGTGTGGTGTATAGGGTAGTGGGTGAAACGTTTGCCATAAGCGTAACAACAGTTCACTGTTGTGTATATGCTGTATCATGTGACTTACGGCTTAATACATCATGGCTTTTTTGAAAAAGCCTTCGGCTTTAGTGATATTCTAACTTTTTCACTTCATCTTAGTATAAAAACTCATTTTGTGATATTCGAGTGTTTTTTTTTTGAATTTCAGGCTTTTCCATTCAGCACATATTCAAAATTTGCAAAAACTTGGTGGATGGAAAACCTGCTACTGAGAGGTCAAGTGAGTTCGTGTTGCCTGTGCAAGTTTGCAAAAAGCAAACAGAGGAAAATAATATCACATTTTTGTCTTTTGAATTTTTTTTTTGTTGTGTAAGACATCATCAGTTAAACATGTGCTTGAATTTATTTACTGATGTCTGAATAAATTCTACAAATAAATGATGCTCAGCATGTAAGGATCTTAAGCCCGTACAAAAGCCTGAGCTGTTCTGACTTGTGACAGTCCTGTTCTACTGACATCATACTTACCATCAACTGAGAGTTGAACACTTTGGAGAAAAACTCTTTTAGAACTGAGAGCTCTCTTCGTTCGTCTCACCAGCAGGTAGCTTTCATAAACTCCTGCATCATCAGGTCTGACGTTCTTCAACTCCAGTGAACAGTCCCCCTTCAGCAGGTGATCTTCAGGAACGTCCACGCGGTCTTCATACCCCTCACCCTGATACAGCTCCTCGCCCCTTCGCTCAAACACCGTCTCAGCAAAGGTGCGCCACTCAACATGGGGACTTTGGGTGGACACGTTTCTCCAGTCACATGGCAGAACAGCTGAGGAACCCACTCTGGCAGACATGAAGATGCGAGAGGGTGCTGGAAGGGAGCCTGGAGGGTGAGCATTAAAATTGAGATTAAATTTACATCTTCCAAGCAATGGTTGATGCTGGTTATTTGTTTCATTTGCTTTGAAGAAAGTGTTTAGATGGTGACTTACTGACACAGGTGGCAGACCATAAGATGGAAACATAAAGAAGGAAAAACATGATCATCAACTGCTGGACTGTGTGGAGGACTGAAGGTCCTGAAAACAAATTAAATAAGACAGTGTGTAAATGTGCGTAATCAGTGTGTTAAATTAATGCACAGTACGAATAACATGTGGATGACCTGTCATGTGCAATTCCTAAACTGCTCACCAGAGATCATCATCTCCTGAGTACAAACCATCACTCTCACACACCTGTTCTCAATCTCCACTCATCAGCTCCTCTACAAATACTCTCACACTCTCTCTCCACTGTTTGCAAAGCACTGTTAGTGTATTTCTGCAATCCTGAACCTTTTTCCCTGCAACTTCTTGGACTTTTTTTCTTGGAAGTTTTTTTGTGACTTCGATTTTGGATTTCTTCTTGGATTTCTCTGCCTTGGCTCTTTTGTATGTTTTTTTTTTGTTTTTTTTTTTATGTGTGTT